ATTCTGTTTTTATAAAGACCTTATTCTGGACAACATTGGAAAGAAAACAGGGTTACCCAATTATTGTCTAATAGAAAGAACTCTGACTTAAATCCTGCTCTGCCCTGCCACGCTCTATGCTTTAGTTTCACATGTTTTGGGGGATAAAAACATAATCCCTAATTTATCCACCTGACATAACCTTTCTTATATTGAGTATACACAACTGACAAGAATCCAAAAGCGAGTGGCCAGGCTGATGAGAAAAGTTGGGAGGAACTGGTAATGTTTTATCACAGAGATGAGATCACTTAGGAAATAACATCAGAGATTTCTTCAGTATCTAAATGGCTATGATATAGGAAAGAAGGTAAAAAGTAGAAGAGAGTTTAAGACAGAACAATTAGAGCTCTTTGGCTGGGTTTGGGGTTCAGATGGAGTTATTCAAGAGTAAGTGAGGTGATGAGTCACTTGTCTGTGATGTTAAAGAAGACCATGAATTAGATAAAGTTTGGATAGATAGCTCCAGGTCCTTTCTCACTCTAATAATGATAATAGGCATCAATTATTAAATGCTCACTAAGCTGAGCTAAGCATTTTATAGGTCTTATCTCATTTAATTTTCACAAAAACACAATAGGTGGAGGAATGATTTCATCCATTTTACAAATGGAGAAACTGAGTCTAAAATTTGCAGAGGTTTAACTTTGAGTCAGAGTGACTCAAAGCCTATCTACTAACCATTGTGTTATATTATAAATGTGGTCAGGGAAAGATAAAGCCTTTGTTTGTTTTGATTTGGTCAGAAAGTTTCTTTGCTGTTCAGCCAAACTGAAGCCAAGTTGTCTCCTTAAAAAAAAATTTGTTGTAAGCTCTAAATACTTTGTGAAAAGGAAACTGAAAAGCCATTATCTCAGCTGGTTTCCTTCAAATTTCTGAGAAAGCCAACATATTTCCCAAGGACAACTTATGCTTTTAATTGTGATCTCTGTGTTTTGAGATTAGAGAACAGAACAGAAGAAACTAACATTTTCTAAGGAAAACTAATGCTTTTGATTTTGATCTCTTTGTGTTTTTAAGAGTGGAGAACAGAATAGAAGAATTCAGAAGCCATGCTGTTTATTTCTCAAATGATGTTACAAAATCAGCAAAAGCTTTGGTTTCTCTTGTTTGTATGAACCCTTTAAAAAAAAAAAAGAAAAACATTTATAGAAGTGTCTCTTCAAGGAAAGGGAAGGGCAATTTTATTTTTTAGGACCTCAGGGTGTTCAAATAATATCAAGGGGTATTGATCCAGATGTTTTCCAAACACAAATAATTTAAAATCACTTAAAACAAATTGTGTCTTAATCAGGTTTTAAGTAGAGTGAAACTTAGGAAATCAAACAGTTACAGCTGGTGGTCTAGAAACTCCAGTTTGGGGTAAAACTGGCTTAAAAAAGAAAAACAAAACAAAAAAGTCCAGGGAGAGGGGAGGAGGAGAGAAATAAAACAAGGAAGGGATAAAAGGAGGAAGATAAAAAAGAAAGCAAGAAG